CTCCAAGAAACAAAACCTAAACACAAGAGGCCTGTAATAGCACTGCCATCCCTACATTCTTTGCTTAACATTTTTGTCTGTATTTGAAACCATTAACATGGAACTGAACAGAAAATAAAAGCACCTTTGACTCCAGAGGTATAGACTAGTATGACTAACTGCTTGCTGTTTACCCGTAAAATTCCATGACAAGATTAAACCTCTTAGGAAGACAAGTCAAGCTATATTGAACTATAAAGCTCAATCATGAAATAGAAGTGCATTGAACATATAATAATCTCTCAACATGCTAAGAAACCACAAATAATTATAAGCAGATGTGTGAGTCTAAGAATATGAATATTGTTTATACAGCTGTAGAAAATAAGGAATGCAAGACTACAACATCATCAACAAAAAGTGTCTCAGTTAAATGCAAGCTGCTAAAACACAGCAGGCCTCCCAGACTAGCATTTCTTCAAAAAAATTTGGATTTAGTGACAAGAATGTTCCCCAATTTAAAGTGGTAAGATGATAGAAACATTATGTAAGAAACTAGGTCATCCAGTACATAACTAATATCCATCTAAGTGTAGCGATGCCATGTTTTTCCGTAACATCAAAACGAAGGTCAGAGGCAGCCATCTTGTTTTTCTAGAAAAAGGTCATACTATCCCCTGCCCACACTTGTTAATAAGTCATGTAAGATTTTGAACTATCAAAGTCTTTATTTGAAATTAAGGAAGAGTCTATTTACTCTGTAATCAAATGAGATTGTGGAAAAAGCAAAAGCAAAGCAATATGAAAAAACTGAAAATCAAGTACTTCACTTGTTTGTGTCATCTCTGTATTTTTAAGGCCTTGTTAATTCTAGAATGTCTACAGGTCAGTCTTTATCACAAGGAGATGCGTGCACCTGGATATTAATTTATGTATACCTAATTCCCTGTCCCTGCATAGCATAAAAAGCTCTTTTTATCAGCCTTCAGTGTGATCAACAGATCGACCAACATTTCTGTTCAAAAACTAGGGAACGGGCAAGGAGGTAGGAGGGGGATACAACGAGGAAGCAGAAAGGGAAGAGTCAGCCAAAGTAGTAGAAAACAGGAAATTATATTAGTCCTCAAAGTTCTGATAAAGAATGATTCCTACAAAAATCTTTCTGCAAAAAGTTCCATTTTCTCTAAGATAGAATCACATCTACCTATAAATCCTATACAAGTTTCCATACACAGCTACAGCACACTGAACCTTAAATATTTATACTACCTTAAAACTTACAAAAGTGAAGGGAAAATGCTCTTTAGGCAACCCTAAATTTGAGAGGGGCTCTATAAAGGGCTTAGGAACAATTATAAAATATGTATTTACCTATGTAAAATGTAAGATAGATGTACATGAATAAAGTGAAAGTCCTTTATTGTGCTTGTGAAGGACAAGTTCTACATCCATCGCTTCATTTCTGATGTTCATGTAAATCCAAGAACTAGAGTGTAAGTTAAAAGTAAGAGTCTGAAAAAGTCTTGTTTTCACAGCTCTTTCCTTTTAGTAATGGCAGATTCAATGCAAGTGACACCCAAACTTCTGCATTTGGAATTTTGAACTATTTAACCAATAGGACTTGTGAGTTTTAGGAACAACCACGTGAAAGTTTTAATCTTCAAGAAAAAGGAATGACACTGGAAAAATACTTATCCACCTCAGGCATAAACTCAGTAACGTTTGTGAGAATATAGATGAAAATAGCAGACAGAGGTTTGGTATGAATAGTTACAGAATTCTTCCTCTTCAGTTTTCAAAAACAACAGACAATACAAGATTTTGATTCTTAAATTTATTTTTAGCAGGATGTGTGTACTAATGGATGGTGACATCATTAGAAGATAGGTCCATGTCCACCACCTGCAACAGAAGCTAGACAGACGTTAAAGAAAACAATTTAAGAGTTAAAGGTGACACTACTTACCCAGAGCAGACTTATGAAAGTCCCCTACTAAGCAGTACAGTTAGCTTTTGATGCAGACATGATAGCTCATGTTATTTATCTGTTGTCAAAGTTTCCTGTCAAGATTTAATCCATACATTACCTTGATTTTGATGGAAACCATGCACTTCTGTTTAGAAGTAAGTATTAGAGAAACTCTTATTTTTAAAAGAGTACTCATGGAAAGATTGGTTATTCAGAGCTACTTACCTGTATATTTTCTTGGAAAGATGTCCAAATTTAGGTCTAAAGCTCCCAACCAAAGTTTGAAGTTAGAAAGAATTTGCCGGCAATTCAAATTCTAATATTCTTAAACCAGGTCAACAGCAGGTAACATTTCTAGATTCAATTAAGAATACAACCACTTGTTTCTTAGCATACCTAGGTGTTTGACAACACAATAACGCAGGATCTCAGCAATATACTCACAGATGGGTAATACTAATTCAGAAGAAATGAAGACTTGAAATGTTACAACCCAGAGACCATGTTACACTCAAAAAAAAAGTCAATAGCCAGAAGTCTAACAAAGGAAACAAGCTTGTCTAGAACAAGTTAATTTCACCAGAAATTAAACTTGCGTAGCAAAACCTAGGGACAGACAGTTCAGGAAATACATTCTCAACAAATCAGGTGATAGGCCCTTTTCCAGTGCTATTTCAAACGAGAAGCAAAGAAGCAAGGCTCAATCTGAGGTATGGTATTTCTCAAGACTGTAAAAACAGAGTCCTTGCTTCAGAAAACAAATGCATCTGGCTACAGCTATTTACATCAGAAGACAGACATTTCTTAAAAAATAAAAAAGTATTAAAAAACCCAAAGCAAACAAAACAAAAACAAAAACAAAACAACCAACCAAAGAAAAGAGAAACTAAGTCAGCTGGCCCTATAGACAGTATCATGAGGACATCCTGATCTCATGTTTCAAAACTTCGCATTTTTTTTTCAGCCTGTACTTCAAACCAGAAGACACTACTGATAGCTGACATAAAGTCACTTCACTCATCATAACACAAGTTTAGAAGCTTGACTTTAGGGTTCTTGTTCTTTATAATCTCTTGGCGCATAGCTCTTCATTAGTACCTTGGGTTGACACCATCTTGGCTCATAGTTCTTTCCTAGTAACCTGCATTTATACCACACTGATCAGCCTATAAAGATTCTTACAGTATACCTCCACATGCTAAGACTTAATCTGTTTAAAACAAACTGATACACTTACTGAATACTGGCTCCTGCTTTCTAAGAAGACTTCTGAAACTGGAAGTGTGTGGTATTAGAGTGAGATTCTTTAACAGTCTAAATAATTAATCCAAGAAACCCAGTTTTAGTGACAATGACAGCCTGGGAATAAGCAATTTTTTTCTCTTACAGCTATGAACCCTTTGATGCATTAATATTGGGCAATAAAACCGTTTTATACTTGTTGAAAACAACAAGAATTTAATCTGTTCACAGGTGTACTCAATCTGTAATTCCTGATTAATTGAGCTCTTGTTTTTACAGAAATATAAATCTGTCTGAAGGACTAAGTCACTGCCTTTTGAGCAACTCACTATCCCAGTGGTCTATTATATCTAAACAGGGTTACATTGCTGGTAATGATCTATAAAAAATAGTGAGTGGCTCAAGACAATCAGTCCTACACTGGTACTGTGGGAACTTGTCCTTCCAAACACATCACACAGAGGGAAGGTAGGGCAGATGATTAAAAGCTTAAGGCTGCCTGGTTTTTAATCTTCCAGGTTCCATTGTGCAGCTAGATCAGTTGCTACTGCGATCAGCTCTACTGTGCACACCATCTGTCTTGGTTGATATTCTTTCCACAGGACAAACACTGGAAGGACTTTCATCAATTGCTTTCTGCGAGGCATAGAGCAAAGGAAGGAAGTCAGGAAGTAAGAGCAGTCTAGGAATGACACAACTGATCTGAACGATCACTTCAGATACATTGTGAACAGCATTTTCCTGAACAAAGACACAACAAAATCTACACTCAAGTTATGAAGTTATAAAAGGGTAAAGAAACCACAGAGTGAAGAGAATGTTCTTGACAGGCCTGTATGATATGAAACCTGGAGAACAATTACTTTGTACACTACGTAAGGACTACATGTGTATGCTGCAGTTACAGGGCACCGCAACTGTTCAGCTATCTCCCCTTGCAAAAAGATGCAGCTTCAGTTCTATTACTGTAATACCCAAGTTAGTGCCAGAACCTATGTCTCAGAGCTGACACAAGAGATTTGGGAAGCAATGGACATGAAATTATGGACCGATTTAGGATACATGGGATGTTCCACAGGAGGCTTGACAGTATTATGTGGTAGGAAAGGGAAAGAGATGACTGGTAATAGTGAAGAATGGAATAACTTAGGGGATCATTTGCTCATAACGAGCTGTTCACTCTGCGTTCTTTTATTAATGATTTGTCCTGTCCTAATGGTGCTAGTGCTACAAATGCCGCTAGCCACCTGTGTTAGTGGCTGTAGAACATAATACTACAGTTTACTGGGTTTAATGGATCCTTGCGTCAGGTAAAAAAGTTGTGCTGAAACCAGTAATTAAATTCTTATCCTTTAAGTGGCTTCACAAACCTACAACTACCAGAAAGAGTATTCTATTCACAAAAAGGGTATTATTAAACAATGTAATACATAATTAAGACTTACAACAATGAAAAGAACAAGAAAAAAATTTACTCTATGAAGAACTAAGTTTGTACCATTCAGAGTAAGACTTTCTAGCTGCACTACTAAAACTAAGTCTGTACATATAATGAAGACTGAACAGGCTAAAAACCAGAAAGACAAACACTGAAGTGAACACAGTTGTAACATTACCTAATGTTGAGCTGGTTTAATAGATTTAGAACACCAGAACCAAAAAAAAATCTTGTTAGAAATGTGCTGGAAGCAAAGACCTAACAGTGGCGATTAGATATTTACCTTTGGAGAGAAAATTTGTTTAGGCAAACTGAAAACATTTGCAAGAACAAGGTTTAGTGAAGAATGGACTAAAACAAAACATTACGCACTTCCAGCTTATGTTCTTTCTCTGCAAGGAATTCTTTTTGACATCGGAGAAAGTCTGACAACATTCGAGTTAGCTGTTTTCTATCATCTATTTCAGCTGCCAACCTGCCATTGTAATCCGCCAGCAACATACATGCATCATCTACCATTTTGGAAAGTTGCTCTCCAGATTCCTTATCTAAAAAGCAAGCAAAGAAAAACAAGTAAAGCATGATTTCATTATATACTGTTATGTCCCAGCATTTCAGTTACTGGATCCCCAACCCTCACCTGTTATCCTGTCTAACAGGGACACATCTTGGACCTCTATAGGCAAAGAAGCTATTCTCTGATGAACTGCTGCATCCCCAGAGGCAGCGTTTTCTAGTTCTTGTAATGCTCTAATGAGATCTGTGGTCTGAAAAAAGCATGCAAGATTGAGAACTAGTTAAACAAACAGATCCTAGTACAAAACAGTATTTCACAATAAGCTTATAGAATCAATTTGATGGTAATTTTAAAAGCACTTATGATATCAGCATGATAGCAACATTCTATCCTGTCTCAGACTGAAAACAAAACAAAACTAAGCCATTAGTTCTCAGAACAACATTGCAGTGTTCCTAGTTTTAAAGATCACCTTCCTAAAATAGATTTTTCATTTAAATTCTGGGTATCGGACTACTTACAATTTTTTTTTTTACAGTAGTGATTATTTTACAGTACCTTTCCTTTTATTATACATTTTTGAAATTATTTTTCTTGTAGTTTTGCTTCACTATCGCATCAGACTAGATCAGTGCACTTCTTTTGGAAGTAGGTCTGATGTTCATAGAAGCCCAGATGTCTGTTACAGAGAAACATACTAAATTGTGATTATTTGAGTATAGTCATTCCTTGCCATAAGAAAAAGCCTTTTGAGATGAGGCAGTGCCATAACAAAAAATCCAGAGGAATTATAAAAGCCATAACAATGCAAGGTAGACAAAAAACTTTTCCCAACCATCATGACTGCATCATTGAGAAGTATTTTATTAATACACCGATAACAATCTTATTCTAAATACATGTGTTACTGGTTACCACCCTGGAAACCAAATGAGAACCTAAAACCTTGTAGAAACTAATGCTGAAATCCTGATGAGGACAAAGCTGGATATAGTTCATACATTCCATTTTAGTGTCAAACTGACTAAAGTTACAGCATGCTCAACTTCTTGGCTCCACTTATAACCTGAAGTACTGCGAAGAAAAGTTTCAGGTCTAGTCACCCTTGCTCAGAAACAGTACCTCATTAAAAAGAAAAACAGAGACTATTCAAAAGCAAGAGTAACTGAGACATTCTCTATCAAACCATATGCAAATACAGAATTTTACAAATGTGCTTTTACCTGTGGAGGCTCAGTGGGAGAACTTCGAGGTGAACAGTTATTTTCGTCAACTTTTATCTGTTCGTATGTGCGCTTCCTCACCTTCCTGTCTCCATCTAAATAAAAACAAACAGAGGAGTCAGAGAAATAATATTTCAAACAAGAGACTGAATCTTCATACACACACAAAATACTTACACAAAGCTTGCCTAAGTTGTTCTAATACATCATTTTCATAAACAGACCTTTCTTCCCAGATAGAGAGCACTCGGCCAAGGTGTTTCTTACAACTCTCATCAGACTCACTATTACAAGGGGGGAAAAAAAAAAAAAGAAAGAAGAAAATCAGCACTAGGTAAAAGTACAGCACCACTGTATGATTATCTTTCACAGAAAGACCTTGGCATACTTTATCAGTATCAAAGTATCAGATTTCCAATAGTCTCAGAAAATAACAAAATCACATTTTAAAGAAAAGAATCAAAGACCAGTTCAAGATGTCTTAGCAAGCACATAAAAAAGCCAACACCCAATTCCCTCTTTCTGTTTGCTTGCTCAATCCACAGATCGATGGGTCTGTAATCCTGTTACACAAACACTGCAAATAGGTTTATGTTGCTTCAACAGCTGTGTACCATGTGAAAATAATTCTGTATCAAGACTTTAGCACCCTCATGTAACAAGATAAATGGCTGCTGCGGAAAAACAGATCATGCAACACTAGTAATGAAACATATCAAACTGTTAGAGCATATAAAAGCAGACTGAAAGCAAGTCTGAGTTTAAGGCATAGCTAACAGCTCTCTAAGGCAAAAGATACTGAACACAGTACTGAATGCAGATGATTTTACTATGTAATTTCATCCAACAGCATTAAGACTATCCAAGATCAAAAGAACATTGAATAAATTAAATTAACAAGACTTAAAGTACAAAAATAGCAAACAAGGGCTAGCTGGGTCAGAAGGGATGAACTGGGGACTTCTCTAAATCTCCCTCAAATACAGTATGATGAAGGACACCACATGTAACAGTTTACTGTACCTTGAAACATGCTTAAAAGCCTCCACTATTACTGGAGCAAAGTCTTTTGTAAATTCTGGTCCTTTCCTTTTGCTGTTCTGTATGACATCATTGGCCAAGTACAGGAATGTCAGCTTCCTGTTTGGTTTTGCTAATAAAAACAGTGATAAACAAGAATAATTAGAAATTTTAGTTCCTCCAACTAATACCTATTTATCCACATTTATACTAAACACAAAAAACATCAAATGTTTTTCCTATCCACATTACCACTTACAACATTTCATTCAAATTTTCTACTTAAAAATGTGAAAAGACCTTGGTCATCCATTGGCTTTTTTCTTCATTCAGGTTCTTCCTCCTTCGTAACATGACACAAGTTCCCCTTAGCCCCATTTCCAAAAATAAACAGAAAAAAAACATGATATTCCAAGGTGTTCTTCAGGTGTTTTCATGAGCCTGATGTGATTTGTCAGTTTGGTAGCCTTCATGGATTTCTTCCACATACTTCAGCTTCCCTTTGAACCTGAATAAATTTCTTACATCCATGAAGTCCTCTGACAAGGAGCTTCACAGATCCACAACCATTCATGTGAAGAGCCTCTTCCTTCTGGTTTAAATTTCACTCAGTCTTATATAACCACCCCTCATTCTTGTATTTGAGCAAACTTAACAGCCAATCCCTAATCAACTTCTCCGTTATCACTGTGATACTCCCCTCCCTCCTCTCCTAATGATTAAAACACACATGTGCCTGCAGCTGCAATACCAAGAAAACATTTTCAAAAATTCCTTTCAGGCAGCTGTGGTGTACCTCTTCTCCAAGCATCTTAAGCATTCTACCCCATTCCCGTTACCGTACAATAGATTACAAGCTTCCAATTTACAAGTTGCTTTTGAAAATCTAGTCTGTGTTTTCAAAGTGTCCCTACTCAGGTATTTTCATTTACCATCACAGTTCATCTAATCTTCATTATCTACAGGTTTCTCAGAGTTGCAACTCTTATTGTAACACTTGCAACCTTGTGTTGACACCAGAAAAACTTTCAATATCCACTACCACCACACAGTCTCAGTATGTATGCTCTGCCTTTAAAAAGAGGTTTCTCTTGAAAGGTAAGACTTGAGTTTTTCAGCCCTCTGAAGGAAAGCAGCACTGTGGTAAAGCCAATCTAGGATTTCTTAAAACTTGTGCTTAGTTCCCGGTGTGACTTCGTTTTGTTAATTTCCATTCCAACCTCCCAAACATGCAGAACCACCACCCTCACATACCAACAGAAAAATCCATATTGATAGGCTTCCATTCTAAGGAAGTGTTTTTGAGAATAAATTTTGCACTATAGAAAGACTCCTCTGAAGGATTTCTCCTTGGAGTATTGAATTTTTCCCATCCTCTTAGACATGTATCCAACAAGTTAAGAGAGTTCTGGATTAAGTGGGGAAAAAAACCCTGCATTAAAAGTAAAAACGCATCTCTCAGAATCAAGGCAAACTAAAAAGTGGCAAAAAAGAATTAGTTTGGAAGTGCTGGACACAAGGTATATCTATTAAAAGTCTGCTGCAAACAGTGAAGCCACTACCTGCAAACACTCAGGAAATTATTCTATTTGGGTCAAAATATGGCTACACTAAAATGTAGATTTTATAAACTTGTGCTACTTAATTTCTTTATTAAAAACTAATTGACAACATAGCGACACATCTCCTACCCATGTTTCAGGTAAATCATAGTTCTGACACATACAAAGCTTTGAATTATTCAAAGAGAAAACCTTGTCTCATGGGTGCACCAAAATTTACCAAAGCTGACCCTGCACCACCACTCTTTGTTAAATGAGCCCAGAATCAAGACTTAAAATGTAATGAAGCAGGCTGTTCCCCATCTTACACCCTCTGAACTGCATGCAGGATTGGTCCTGGTCCATCCACTTCACAGAAAAAATCCTCATGTTTTAATCCTCAGTGATATAACTCATTTGTGACAGACCCCAGCTTCCTTGTTTCCAACAAGTAACCAAATCAATTCTGTCTGTAAAGACAGAAGATGGTATGCAGTGACATGAAGTCAGGTGATTTTGTGATGTCAGGTGATGAAGTCAGGTGATATTGATTCTCAAAAAGCCTAGACTTTTATCTATTCACTACAGTAAACAGATCAATATACTGTGTTCAGAAAAACCAGAAAAAAACCTAGCTAAAATCCAGAAGTCACTTTCAAGCTTGTTTCCTCTAGTATTACCTTTTCAGCTTCCTACTACAGTTCAACAGAAACAAAGCTGCATTTAATAAACAAAGGTCCTCAAAACACTATTAAGCTATCTGTGTCTTTGGTTAGAAATTCAACTAATATTCTACCCTTACGTTCACAAAGAATACTGTGGAGTAAAACTAAATTCCACTTGCTGTAAGAATGCTCTGTGCAAAATTCCGAAGCTAAAAATTATGCCTACCCTCAAGAAGTGTTTCATTTCACTTCGCAAATATTCAGGAGTTACATACTGGCCCACTACTGCTCTGCCTTACACACAGGACCAAAGTGCAACGTTATCTTTAGCAGCTGAGGTTGACAACTCTGAGCTAAAAAAAACCAAAGTGTTTTATTGCTACTATGACTGTAAATTAACTATTGAAGTCTGAAATACAAAATTAAACTCCAGATCAGATAGATCTGTTCTGAAAAAAAAATTATCTGTTTAAAGCATCTATCTTCAGTAGCAGAGACAGTAACTTTTCAGTCTTGGGCTTTGATATACCTTCGAACACCAAAATGGATCAAAGAACAGTTAGACTATTTTTAAAAAATGTCCTCAACATGTGACAAGGCTATTAGCAAAAGCACTCTTCCTGTCAGAAAAAAATGAAATAAAAAGGTATGATCTTAGGTTACAGAAGAAACTGAAAGGCACATACTGCCGCAGTATATAGTGTTAGAAGTAGCTAGCCCACAGTATCTCTGGTACACTAACAGTACAGTCTGCTAACGCAAAACTGCTAAGAAAGCATCCATGTTGGACTGAGTCATTTTTTCAGAAGCTCTATGCAGTGTTCACATAATTCTTTGGCTTGTTTCGGTTAGATTTACCATTTACCCACCAAAGCAGTCCAAGTAGCTCCCTGAAGTGCTGGATTCTGAAATATTTTAACAGGTCAAGAGTGCTGGCTGGTGTAAGGGCCATATTAAACAGATTACTCTTAAAGCATCCACAATGAAACTAACTGGGATTGGCACCTCACAACTGAAACTAAGTCTGTCCCAAAAACGTATCTGACATTTAAATGCAAATGAATACTCTGCAGGGACCCATGGTATTTCACCTGCAACTAGCATAATCAGGCATCTATGGTGGAGAGACTTAGCATCCTCGTTATCAAGTCTTACTTTTCTGCAATCTAAACTTCTTAGGAATGCGTACTTGTTAGCCTGGCCTGGGTATTCCTGGTTCTTTACCAGTCTGATACAGACACCCTGACATTGTATGCTTGAGTTCATAATAATTAGAGAACTCTAACACTGAAGAGGCACCACATTAGTGAAAGAAATTAGTATTTTACCTTGGAAGGCTGTAAGCACGTTATTTTCACTGAGGTTAACTTTGGCAATCAAAGCCAGCATAATCACCCGTATTTGTCTTCTCCAGGTTTACCTCCTGACTTTGGAAATTGAGCTCCCATGAGGACTGCTACAAACATGTCCATTAGTTTCATGCTGTTCTATACCTCTTCCCTAGAGTTGAGAGATATTTGTGGTCTTAGCCACACAGGAAGAAAACACAGAGAAACACATGGGCATAACAGATTTCACTGACATCCCACTACAAGTGTATAGACTATTGACCCATCTGAAAACATTACATCAGACTTTAACCTTCTACAGGTTGGCTCCTGCTGTGCCAACTGACATTGAATGAAAACATCATTTAACAAGAGGTTTTGAGAAAATGATCATCAGTAGGTTAAAACCTCACAAGAGTTATCAACACTAAACAGTTTCATTTTTACTAAAGTTCTCTGATACTGATTCAAATAAAGCTTTGCCTCAATTGCTTTTGAATTATGATAGTCGACATGCAGCAGAGTACATCAGTGTCAGCACTTCTCCCAAATCCCAGGGACACTTCCTGTGTCATAGCATGCTTCACACCTTAGCATGAGAAGCTACATGACATCTTTGTACATATCTGAAAAACTTTCAAGCTTTTTATCTTTAACACAACTCATCTTTAAGTCTAGCAGCACTGAAACTTGAGTGAAAGATCACTGACCCTTCACGCTGAAAGTTAACCTGAGTTTTTACGCAAGCTGATTAAGTGCGCATCTTTGGCAACATGACTGAAAGTACATCTGTAAAAAGTCACTTGAGAGGCTACCACCAGAAAGGACAATTCAAAGGTAACATAATCCACAAAAGACATGTTGTCTGAGCACTTAATCTTAAAATTCATTAGCCTTCTGTTATGAAAAAGTTAGTGTTCAACATTGCACAGTCACCCCATTCTCCTGGTGAATTTCACCGAGGTTTGAGAACTGCAGTGTTCCCTTTTCAAAGAGGGGAATGAGATTGCATACAGAATGTGCATTCAAGGTTTGAAGGTCCAAGTATCTTGACCCTGAGTTTGAAGGCTAGTAGACAAAGGGAACACAGCAAACAGCCGCTGCTGGGAAAGAGGCCATCAGCATCAAATTACCATGGGGATGCGAGAAAGTTGGTCACAAACCAAGGAAACCATTCCAACATAATTACTCTGTAGAAGCTTCCCACTGCACTTAGCATATCTTGAATTACCTGAATACATAAAACAAACCAACTCCTTTCATTGCCTGGGCTGACCGATACAGTGCCAAGATGGATATGAATCGACAGCAACGACAACAGGTTTAGGACAGGAAAAGACACTGCACTTAAGTATTCAGAACCAGAATGATGAAAGACAGGCAGGTACAGGTAAGATACCAGGATTTAAGTGGCACAGCAATAAATGAATATAGATTTGTACACGCTGCATTCTTTCAAGACTAATACTAGAGAGTCAACTAGTCAGGCTGGATTACACAATCCAAATGTGACTATTTTAAGTGAAAGATTCTTACATTGCTAATCTGTTGCTCCTGACTGCAGGTGATTTTGTAAACCATATATGTAGCAAATACATTTCTCTAACTTGACTCAAGAACTTACATTCACCAAAACAGCAGTTTTGCCCGCTGTTGGTTGATCTCCAACCCTTTTTGCATAGATGAGAAGATTCATGTGGATAAGCAGGAAGGTACGTGCAAGCACCTCAGTCTTAAGTATCTTACTGGCCTCCTCAAGAACACCCACTAACCAGTGAAATCAGTAAGCCATATTTTTGTTTCTTTTAAATAAAAGAACACAAAATCTTTTTTTGTGAGAGAATTGAGAGAATGATACATGCTCAAGTGTATCACACTGGCCAAGGACACTATACCACCATTAAGTAAAATAACCTTACATCCAACACTAGAGAAAGCCAGAACAAGAGGTCAAATGACTGGGGGTGGGGAGGGAGGTGTTCAGCATCAGTTTCTCAGACTGACTAATATATGAGATGCCATGTCAAGCTCTGAGGAAACAGATACCAGAATCTGAAATTAGGTTTAAAGATACAACGAGACAAATATTAAAATATTATTACATCACTAGGATGTAAATACCTAACAAGTGACAGAGCTGGACCTGGAAAAGCTAACAGAAAACCAGTTGACAGGAAAAGATATTACAGATAACTAAATAGAGCTTGAAATAAAGAGTCTCATATTACCAAACTCAAGCATTTAGCAATTTTATCTTATTTTTCCCCTTTTAAACAGAACACATTTTAACCTAGTATAGCAAATATCACATGGAGCCTACTGATCAAGGGCTTACTATTCACCCTTGAAGGCTGATGCTTTGAATTATGGTAGTAAAGTTTTTCATTCCAAAACAAAACGCACAAACAAACAAACAACCCCTACAGCTGCAGAGAATCCTGAAACCAGGGAGCAAGAGATGTATGCAAAAGAACATACCTGATTTGCAAATAACAAAAAGTAAGTCTCAACAGCCTCCATCTCAGAAGAGCCTTTTCAAGGTGGTTCCTAAGGGTTTTCTCAGCACCCACTCAGTGGCTGCAAGCTTACACAACAAAATTGCATGTGTAATACCACTGCTCAGCTAAAAAAAAACCACCCTTGTAAGTCAATCCCTTTATGGATACACAAAATAAAAGTTTTAATGAGCCCACCAGTTGCATTTAGGGAACGACTGATGTACTCATATTACAGTTAATTAGTTAGTACTACTTAACTACTTAAATACTGAGTAAGCTTATGACTATTAAGTAATTAACTATTTAACTTTGGGTGTTACATTTCATACATATGAAATCCATCTGAAACAGGATCATTTTCCTCAGTGCACGCTTTTCAGGCTTTTACAAAATTCTACCTAATCTCCACTCAAAAGGTCTCTGTAAAATAACCCTGTTATGTGGCAACTTTATCGCAAAAGTTCCACATCAAATCCACACAAGTTCCTTTAAAATAATCATGAAGCTGCCATATCACAAGTGCCAAAGAAAAAAAGCCACACTTTTCTAGAATAAAAATCTAAACTGCAGGGGATTCTCATGTTAGAAACACATTTACTACAAATGAAATACTGAAAGAGTAGCCTCCCCACCAAATTATTTACTCTATAAATCAACTATGAAATTCAAAAGACTGCAGACTCATGATCAGCATAAGCCAGTGCTAACACAGGCTGCGGCCTAAAGCGGTGATACTAGCCTCATGGTCTCCTTTGTGCCAGCATCAGCTTTCTATCGGGGAACTCCTGTATTTCAAAACTAATTATTGGTTTTGCTGGATTTTCATCAGCAGCACAGCACAAGATACCATCAGTAAAAAAAGCATCAGAAATATTTAAAGACATTTAAACAACAGCAGAGTGGAAAAGGAGCTGTTCTGTTGTCATTGTAGACCTCTGTTTATCTGTCAAAACAGGAGAAATCTTGGTTATTTCATTACAGTTGTCATTTAAGTTAAAGGCATTCTATTAATCTTTTCTTATCATTTTACTCATCAGTGAAAAAAAGGTCAATGAACTATAGAATCTATTCTATTACTATGACCAGTGGAGATAGTGAAATAATAGTGAAAAAACCCCACTACATACACTAAAATGTGGAGTACCACGGGCAACATCCGAGTGGTTTTGCACAGATGCAGAATCAGGAATACTTAATACCCTAGGCAGGGCACCAGCTCTGCCACAGCGCCACCCTAGTGGCACAGTTCATCCATACATTTTCCATTAGCACATATTTGAGGTCAGTCATTAAACAGCATGTCTCTACACTCAAGTCTCTTGAAGCACATAATATGCAACTCCTTATCACAATTTCATCAAACTACTGCTTGTATAAGACGACATCCTGTCCTTAAATATTTGTGACAATTACTAGGAGTGCCTGGACAATTCAGAGTTACCAGCATTTTCACAATACAGTCAATTCTAGAATACATTATACTAGCTTTCCTCCCATTTTGGATTATTTCTCAGAATGATCCTATGAATTCTACATGCCAGTACTTTAAGAACTATATATAAAAGTTATGGTAGTATTAGGGGAAAAGCATACATGCATACTCCTTCAGTAATCAGTTACATCAACTGTAATCCAACAAATCCAACATTACATAACTGCTCCAAGTTGTAACAAAAATGTGGAAGTTATGTCCATTCTCCAAGTTTACATTTAAGTGCAAGAATTCACTAAGAGAATCAATGAAAGTTCAACTGTAGAAAACCTGTAGATGAAGGTGCATGGAACTGATGATGTGTAGAGATGTCCCAATATGGGACCTGAATGCTACCAATTAATTCAAGTAAACAGAAAGGGACTAAAATTGTATGTTGCTCAAGTTATATGCACATTTGAAAAGCTGCCTCTTCACCTCTACTCCAACATGATACAAAGACAACGACTGTTTTAAAAATAAAAGAATCTGAATCAAACATTTAGGAACAAAAGAGCTGTGATCCTTGTTTTCATGAATAGGTTCACACAAGCTGATCTGACGCAAGAGATCTTTTAGCAAAACTGAAAGCATCCAGAAAAAAAATGTAGTGTCACACTGTATTGTGTGCAACACAGTTGGTTATAGAGTGTTCCACGAACCTGAAAAGGAGAAGGCTGGAAGGAAAGTCTGGAGACAGGGGTGACAATAAAAAAGGGATACAATGAAAGGAAATTAAATTTAGAAAGGAAAGGTTCAATTTTCATTTCCAGGACACTACTGGCTAGCAATAGCAGCAGACAGTGCCAGTAAATTTGTGTGTCCATATTCCCCAAATAGAGATCATTTTCCTCTCATGTAGGCGGGAAATCACGTTTCTATGGCTTGGATAGTGCGCAAGTCAGGAGCCTTAAACTTACTCTATTTATGGCCTCATTGCCAGAGTTCTGCTTTGTGATGTTTTATGCAAGTCACTTCACCACAGCATACTGGTTTTCCCTCTCATCTTCAGCATGCTGTCTGCTTAAACCACTAAATCCACCCCTTGGGGATTAGGGACTGTCTTACAATTCTGTTCTGCAATTAGCAAGA